TATTTTAAACGTTCTAACATATTACATAAAGACAACCTTGAATATTTTCCATTGTTGATTTCATCACACAAGAAATATTCAAGTTTATAATTTATAGAGTATTAAAAAGAAAATTTAAGGGATCATTTAAAAAATCCTCTTTCACCATTCTTTTCTTTATTCATTTGGTTTAACCTGCTCAGCCTCCTATGAAGAAAGCATAACCTGTTCTTATTGGTTGTACAATTTTTTCATTGAAAATATTACAGAATACTTTTGGATTTTTGTTATTGTCATTCTTTTACTTATAGTAGAAATTTTTCCATTCATAAAAGCCATGAAAAAGTAAACACCCAGTTTCCATGATTATCAACATATTGCCAATCATGTTTTCTCTATTCTCCTCAGAGTATCTGAAAGCAAATATCAGTATCATACTGTCTCATCTTTAATTTAAAAAGCCTATTATTCCATAAGCACTGTGTTTATCTCTTCTAGTCCTCAAAATATACTAACATAATAGCCAAGCTTAATCCTATATCATTCATGGTCTCTATGCTCACATGACAGTAACCTTCCGACTCCATGTCTTGGCATGCGCTGGTTTCAATACCAATAGAAACTATGGGGCTGTGTACAGTGACTCATTCCTACACTCGTAGCACTCTGAGAAGCCAGGGCGAGAGGATCCCTTGAGGTCAGGACTTTGAGAAAAGTCTGAGCCTCTCTTTAGTGAGATCCCATCTCGGCTAAAAATAGAAAACATTTTTAAAAAATAGAAAAAAAATTAGCCAAATGCAGCAGTAGGTACCTGTAGGCCCAGCTACTCGGGAGGCTGAGGCAAAAGGATCACTTGAACCCTGGAATTGGAGGTTGCAGTAAGTTACAATGATGTGACTACACAGCAAGACTCTGTCTCAAAAAAATAAAAAGAAACTAGAGGACTCTTATTCTAGAAATTGGATATTCTACTTTCATTAGATAATATTCTTTTGTTGTGCATTTTTACAGTATGCTGGCTGAAATTATGTTTATGCAATAGTGGAGCAATTTCACAATAAAGTGGGTCACTGACATGCTGGTTAATAAATTCTGCTAGACAGATCAGACAGCAGTCCAATAAACAACCTTGCATAACTCATAGGATTTTTAAAATACTTTGCAAAAGCACTCTGCCTAAAGAAAGAGTGGAACAGCAACATTAACAGCCAATAATACCCATTTTTATTTTAAAGAAAGCATATAGGCTTTGCTGCCTAAATATAATTTTAAAGACTCTACTATTAGATTGATTCTCAAACTTTCATTAAAATTCAGCACGATGATGTTCAATTACTATTTAGTACATAGCATGAGCTCCTTCGAATCACTTTAAAAGTAAGCAAGAACTAGTT